CTCAAGGCTGTAACAGGAGAAATCCCAGCGAATGCGCACCCTCACGTCGTTGATCGTCCTGAGGCGGTGGAGGCCAAACCCGGCGTCGTGAGGGGGGTCCAAACACCACCGTGAAGGGGCCCTGTGCAATCCCTCTGAGGGGGGAGGGGGGATCTGAAGACCGGCGGGACATCCCACTTGAATGGCTGAAAAGGGATGGCGTCGCCGAGTATGAGGGGATCCGCAGTTATCCCCCTCGGAATCGCAAACTTTGGTAGAATCCACCACTTTCGCCTTCTCGGTATAAAAAGCAGGATAATTAGCGGTTAGAAACATTGCATATTCCCTTTGCATCAGGTTATGCATCACGGATGTAAAGAAGGGAGGGAAATCGACCAAGGTCGCTCCGGCCTTTCCAAATACAATAAGATTCTCCGCTCGGGAGATGAATACGGAGTTGCTGAGGTTCGAACCATGTAAATGAAGGTCATCAATATAAGGGTGTGTCAACAGCTTTTGTTTTTGCATCCTGTTGGCTCTGCAGGATCATGTGCAGTACCAATGGACATTTCAATAGTGGATGTTGGAAAAAGACGCCCCCATGTAAATGCCAAATTAGCAAAAAAAAAGCAAGCAAATAAACAAATAATGAATAAACGAACGATGCATCGGCCGATGGTAGGCTAACAGGGGGATAAAGCTATTTGTAAAGTGAAGAAAAAGTTCCCTCAAATATGTGTAGAGGGGGTTTTGACTCGATTCTGGAAAATGGAGAAAATAAGATAAATAATAACAAATTGACGATCCCGTTAAAAGGGGAACAAATAGGTTTATTTTTCTCACAATAGAGATAAATCATAATACAAACATGTCACCTGCTTCAAGCCTATGGAAGACGTAGAAAATATAACTAGCAAGTCGTAAATAATTTATTTGATGGACTCTAATCCATTGTTCAAATCAACTCTTCCTGAAGCATAATAATCAAGTATCGCATACGATGGATTTCAGGAATTTGGGGAGGGGCAACAGTGGATTGTAAAAGATTGAAATAAAAAGAAATGAAAAAAAAACGAACTCACCAATTGAAAAGAAAATGAATGCAATTTACTTTAGATAAATGTTAAAGTTTTAGGCGAAGAAGCCTTGTTTTACACTCTCCTTCATTGATACAAAAAAATAGACAGGTCAACAAAGAGCATGCTACTCAATTTGTATTCAAACATCAATGAGAATCCCTCCTTTCCTTTCGACATATATTCAAAGCATACCCATCCCATTGCGCCTACAGATCTTTCCGTTTTTCTCCTATTACCGTATCGCGCATGGTTACGGTTGCTTTCATTGGTATTTTAAAAAAAGACCCAAGTGAGCAATGCGTGGAATATTTTATCATTTCGTACATCTTTTATCAATTACGCCTCACCATCACCACCACATTGTTCATTTAATCCATTAACTCAAGCATCAACCTCCCCTTTTTACTTCCAAAGCTTTAAAAACAAGAACTTCGCTATCAAATCAACAGCTTCTCCTCAAGCTCTCTGAGGATCGCCTCGTCCTCAGATTTTATAGCATTTTCGTTGATTGAAATAGAAGGAAGCTTCGAAGAGGGAACAGCAGGCATGTTAGGCAATTTCGACTCCCCAACTTCCGCCTCCATACTCTCCACCTTTGTAGGATTCAACTCGAGCTCTAACTCGAGTTCCTGCAGGAGCTCATCCTGATCTATGATCTCCCCACCAATGGGCTGCTGTAGGGCCTCGCTTACCTGCTTCGCCTTATCCATTTCCTCAATCAATTCCTCCATGTTATCCTCAATCTTTTCTGCATTCAGGCGTTTATTCGATCGTTTAAGATCATCCTTCGCGGAGAGTTGCGCATTCAGAACCTCTTGATTCAAAGCTTGGTTCTGCAGGGTAAAGCGAAGCGTTTCTAGGTTTTGCTTTTCGTTCATTGAGCTCTGAAGCTGCTCTTCATACATCTTCTTTCGCTTCATGGATTGCAGAGCTCTCGTCTGGTTTTTGTGCGCGTAAAACTCCTTCGCCTTTTCGAGTTCCTCGTTCATTTTTTTCTCTAGCAGGGCCTCTCGCTTTTCCAGCAGTTCAATGGAATTGCCAATCTTCTCAATGCTGGCTAAAACCGTCTCGCCGCCATTGGAGGACTTTGACCCCTTGCTCTTTCCAAAAAGTCTGCTGAACATGGTTGAAAATAAAAGATTGGGACCTTCAAAACGTACAAGTGGTAATAAAAAATTACTAATATAAATATATATATTTATATTTATATACCTCAAAAGGGAAAAAATAGGTTATGGCAACTATTTCCCTATATATATATATATATATATATATATATGTATGTAGATATATATTTATTATTATA